GTATTTTAATAATAGGCTCAAAATTATGATTTTCATTAACTATTAATGTTGAAGATGAAAGTTCGTCCACCACTTCAATTAGAAATTCATCATAATGACATTCTTTACGAAGAAAGTTATGTAGTCCCACACATGCTAAAAATTATTCTAAACAACATTTCAAATTTTTTATAATTTGTGATTTAAAATATTTTATTTATAATTTTATAAATGATTAAAAAAAATAGTGGGACAACTACCCTACTCTCTTATAACTAAATATATCTCTTCATTTTATATCGGTACTAAAGTAGAAATTTACAAACATCAATTAGGAGAAAAGAAAATATCTGAAATTTGTTACAGGTACAAAATAATTTTTTTAATTTTTAATTGCTTTCAATTATTCACTCGTGAAGAAATATTTTTAGTATTGAATTCTAAGATACTGCAATGTCTTATGTTAATTTTCTTTTTTAAAATATCAAAATCTTAATTTCATAATATAAAAATTAAAAAAAAATGATTTTTTTTTAAATCTTATCAAATGTCAAAACTCCACAAAATCCCACAGAATCCATTAAAATCCTGATTTAAAAGTCTTGCAAAATCCATTAAAATCCTGATTTTAAGTCTTGTAGAATCCTGCAAAATCTTAAAAGTTATGAAAATCCAGCAAAGTCTTTTAAAATCTGCAGGATTTTTGTAAACTAAAAAAGTCCTTTAAAATCCTAATCCAATACACCCCCCTAAATTGATTACAAGGTCATGAAGATCTATAGTTGATTATAGAGATAATGATATCAATTTTATTTTTCACCTTTCCCTTTTCTTGATGCTATGTTATAAAAAAATTACTACTTAAAAGTTAAAATTTCAAGTGTTATCTGTGTTATATTACTGAGGAATAATCTCAATTAAATAGACCAAAATAAAGTAAGTCAATTAAAGAGAACAGAGAGAAAAATAGAGCAAGTTAATGACACTATCATTTACATATAGAAATTTTACCAAACAGGAGAATGGAATGAGAACAGTAATATAGTATTATATATAAGTAGTAGTGTAGTATTATTAACAAGAGAAAAAAAAAATGGAGAAGACATGAGCATAGAAAAAAAAATAGATGAAAAACCCACTTGGAAATTCTTGAAGCACTTGAAAAGTCACTTCAAACAATCCTCCAAAATCTTATGGGTTTGGATGGGATTGTTTTATGAATTTGGTATTTATAGATACCACTAAAAAGTCCATCAAAATCCCTCTAATACAACAATCCTTTAAAATCCCTATATTTTTTAATACCAATAGATTATTTTTTAAGTTGTAAAAAGTCTCAAATGAATACTAATGGATTTTAATGGACTCTTTAAAAAATCTTAAAAATCCTAATTGAAGGCCACTGTATTTGTTTTAATTTACATAAATGCTTTATTTGATACCAATGAACTTTTTTACTCAAAAAAATTCTTTTAAAATCCTATGAAATCCTAAACCAATACACCCCCTTAGAGAGAGAAAATCTTCTCAATTGAAAAAGTATCCAATATGAATAATTCATTCTCTGCTAAAATCTTTACAAAAGATTCCTATTATAAGCTTAGCTAGATAACAAGACATAAATTCCCATAAAGACTTCATTTACAAATAAATTTTCACTAACACTTAATTTTCACTAGAATTAACTCCCTACTATCTCACTAACTATCATTATGATATAGGAAGCCTAAAAGCATTAAAAATTGACCTAAATAATATAAAAAAGCATCTGAATCATTTGAATATAAAGAAATACGAAAATTACATTAATAATTAACAAAATGGACTTAAATAACTATTTAGCCCAAAAACTAATTAAACTCTAGCCCATCAATCTTTCTTCTTGAACTTGTCATGATATCTTCAAATTGGGTTCAAGTCCTCATCAAGATTTAGAAAATAACACTAGGTGATATATCTTCATGGGCCTTGTCAAGCAAATCAGTTCATCTTCTTTATTCCTCAAATTCTTCCAAGTGCAGCCTTTGGTAGATTCCATCACAGCAGAAAAAATGCCCTGAACAACAATAGATTTAGAGACATCCTCAACATAAGCTAGTTGAGAAACAACACCATAATTATGCTTCTCATTACTACCATTGGCTATAACAACACCAGAAGTAACCTCCACATTACATTTTAGACCAACAACCTCAAGACTTGCATTAACACCAAATCTTGAACCAGTCTTGAGATTCTTACCAGCAAATTCATCAAACTTTCTGCACGGATTAGAAAGATAACCAATTGTATGACATGAAAAACAAAAAATCTAGAAGCCTTTCAAATTCAAGAGAGACAAAGAAGGCAAAACCCTCCCTCTCTACAAGCAGTCTTTCTAGAAGACAACCTTCAAGGTTAACTTCCACTAGCACTCTCGCAAAGTGTCCATACGTGTGTATCAAGGTAGCTTAATCTAATGTAATAGGCACCCCCACACTCGAGCTAATTAAAAAGATAATCTGAGGACTCCAATATTCTTGAGGCAAATCAAGAATTCTAAGCCAAACTTAAACATGAGTATTCTTGTGCTATCTTGGATAAAATCAAGCTTCCATAAAGAAAGCTTAAGAAAATCGAGTTCTAAATTCCATTACCTGGTAGCAAGAATTGTTCGAAGATCCAATTCTTTTTGGAATTTGAATTCAAATTCAAAAAAAACCTCTCCCAAGAGAGATGAGTTTCTAGAAATCAACCATGTCTCAAATTTGAGACAACTTGACCTGCAATTCTTTAGTCTTGAAAGGTTGTTGGCCTTTGGCAAGCAAAAATTGATGGAAGACCATGAGCCAAAGGCCCAATTACTAGAGTTATGGCCAGGAGCATACATGAGGGATTGGCTAGCTTGGAGGATAATGGGCTTTCTAGGCCCAAGCTACTCTTCTTGTAAGCCACTACATCTTGAGGCTTAGCAAAACTTGTACATAGATTAGGTTTATTTCTTTGTATTCATTTTTCCTTGTATTTTGGGCGTTTTTGACCATAGGCTTTATATAGTCTATATGGGTCTCATTTTCTTTGTCTTTTTATTTTAGGAATTATGGTTTATTTTATTTTTAACCTTGTATTTTAGGTCATGTAGTTTAAGACCATTTAGGGTAGAAAATACTTTATGCTCATCAGAATGCAATTAGGGTTGTATTTCATTTGAATTTGAAGCATGTATGGAGGGTCACACCTAGGTGCCAACCAAATGCCTCAAATATTCCAAATAAAATGCAACCTAAATCACATTCCAAATGGACACAAGATCCATGTGAATGTGTGAGGCTTGTGTGTGATCGGCCAAGGCACCCAAATTTGAGTTTCAAATTCAAATTTGGGCGGCTAGAGTTTAAAGTGACCATACCATGGTCTACTTTAAACTCTAGTTAACCTAGCTTCCCTCACAAGTCTCCTAACTCTTATTTATACTCTATCTCTTTCTAGCTAATCACTTTTTGATGAAATAAGATTTTCACTTCAGAAAATTCTCCCAATAGGTCACGGTTTACTTAGGGAAATTCTCCTTCTTTAAGCACATTCACAAAGGAATCCTTCCTTTGTGCTTTGTAGCTTCTTCTTCCTTCACTAAGGAGACAATCCAGCCGCAGATTCCATCACCTTCATCATTCTCGGAGTCATATTCGTCCCTTGGAACCTCAAAGGAAGATGTGTAGTCTTTGGAGAAAGCAAGGAGAAGAACCTTCATTCACTTCTTCTAGCTTGTTCCATCATTCCATGAAGATGATTCCTACAATGAACAAGGCCAGCTTGGTAGGCATCTTTAGGGATTTGAAACAGCTAGAGTATCACCTTTCCAAACCGGTTTGGGCAAGGAAACACCAAGAGGAGGAGTAGAAGAATTATATACAATTTGTGCATAAGAAACCTTAGGATGTACACGATGAAAAGATGAAAGGCTAGAACCACCCAGGCATGGTCAAGGGCAAGACAACTTGCCCGCCATGTCAAGCCTTGTAGAAGTAATTCTTTTGACTTTGTACAATCTTAAAACTTGACCATTAACAAATTTCATTTTGATAGGAGGGCCAAAATTTTGTATTTTTAAAATTATGTGGATTAAATGTTTCTATTTTAAAATAGAGAGATCAAAATTGCACATTTATGAAAATAGAAGGAATAAAAATGCAATTTAACCTAAACTTATTTTACCAATGATGATCTATTCATTCTTAATATTATATTATTCTCATGTGTACTATTCCTCTCACTCAGGAGCTATACAATTTGAGAAATGCTATATCCTCTGAAACAAAAAGATCGATTTATCCTCTTAACCAGTATAAAATTGACACTTGTCATTGTTTTAAATTAAAATATATTTTTAATTAGTATTTTAAAACATGTAAGATATTCGACTCAATTGTTCGACTAAAATTTTTGGACGTTAAAACATTTCTCATACAATTTTTCTTCTTCTATTATATGATGGTGACGGTGATGATTACGAATGGAAAAAAAATTCATACTCGTGGATATCAATTTTAAATGGATAATTAAATGGGTACTCGCTTAATAATGAGGCAAACACAGATAGTAAGGTATCCATACCCACAATTTAAAAATATTAAAAATATCCTTAATTATATATAAAGTACGTAGTTTAATGTAATTTTTTACACTAAATGTGTCATAATTATTTATCTTAGTATAAATATATGTTATAAAATTATGTTTTTAATATAAATATGTGTTTTAAAATTATTTAATTTTATTTTTATTTCATTTCTTACCATTTTATTTAAAATTTTACATTTTCTAAACTATTCACGGATACTTAAAAATTCATGGATACCCACACTAAACTAGGTAAGTGACGAGAATCTACTACTTGCCTTACTTCGTTGTCATTCCTAATGATTATGATGTTAATAGTGATGCTAATTATAATGATGACAACGATGATTATGATTCACAACAAGACACATTTTGTCAACATATAGGATAGTTAAAAAATATCATTAATGATGATGACAATGACCATAAATCACAACAAGATACAGTTCTCCATACGATAAATTGCATACAAAATACCATTAAGTAAATACCATGTAATCTAACTAGTATAATTTCAAACACTTTCAACACTATCAAGTATTAATACATTATTCAAATAATTTGGTACTAATTTAGAAGTTTTGCCACCATTAAGTTTGCATTTGAGACTAACTTGGATATACTACTTGTCACCATAAACATTAATTAAGATGCATAGATTATGCATGTCTAGCATTGTTTATAGGTTCACCAAGATTAGTATCCGAGCTAGTGGAATCACTCCATGTCGTTGTTTGGTCAAAACTGTTTATGACATTAGGTCTAGACATTTCATATGGGTAAAAAGAGGGCCTTGGAGGCATTTCAAGATTTTCAATTTTCCCTTCAAGCATTTCTACTACCTTATTCATTGAAGGACGGTCACTAGGTTTTAACTGAATACACCAAAGTGCAACTATAAACATTCTTTTTGTCAAAGTCATATCCTCTTCAGAAGCATCTTCCATCTCAACATCTTTCTCTTCTTTAAATTGATCATAGATCCATAATGGGAAGTAATGTTGGCTGGAATACTCTACACAAGGATTTGAGTTCTTTCTCCTACTCGTCATTTCCATCAAAAGCATACCAAAGCTATATACATCGGCCTTATAAGATACACCTCCAACATTTTTGTAGAACAACTCCGGAGCCATGTAACCCAAAGTTCCTCTTGCAGCAGTCAAAGTGACAATGCTATTATCTACAGGATATAGCTTTGCAAGTCCAAAATCTGAAACTTTTGGAATGAAGTTTTCATCTAGAAGAATATTATGAGGCTTGATATCAAAATGTAGAATTTGCACATCACAACCTTGATGCAAATATGCAATTCCATGAGCTACTCCAAGAGATATTTCATATGTTTTCTCATAGGTCAAAGGGACACTTCCTTCTTTAGAGAAAATGTATTTATCTAATGATCCATTAGGCATGTATTCATAAACCAGAGCGCGTTTTTCTCCTTCAAAACAATATCCAATTAGTCGTACTACATTCACATGGTGTATTCTTCCGATGGTAGCCACCTCATTAATAAAATCTTGTCCATCAGATTTGGATTTGCTCAGCATCTTTATTGCTACATCTGGACCACTTCGAAGCTTTCCTTTATATACAGAACCAAAACCTCCTTGACCCAATTTAACCTTGAAACCCCCAGTCATTTTCTTAATTTCTTTGTATTCATACCTTATGGGATTTAGATCGTTGTCAAGCAAAAAACTTTCAATGCTTTCATACATTGATAAATGTCTTCGTCGCCACTTATAAATCAATAGTCCAAGCAAAAGTGTAATCCCAAAGACAAATCTGGCTAACAAGAATATTGGTATAACATTTCTTCCTATATATATTGTTACAAACATATCATTGTCTATCGCGTGAGATGTTATTCTACTCCACAATCCTGTGTGAAATTTCATTAAAAGAATTGTTATAATTAAAGAACATATATATATAATTAGTAATTCAAAATATGAAATAAACTTGAAATTATTATGACTAAATTAATAACGTGGTATTAGATAAGATATATTACCAGAGATAATGTCGTAAAGACATAGTACAATACCTGCAAAAGACAAAAGACATGATGATAAACAACACATCAATAAAGACGTTGGATAATCATTATTCACAAAATTGGTATATTATTTATCAATTTTTTTCATCAATATTTTGTTATAATTTGAAGACCATTATTAAGTTGTACCCAATAGTGGATAAGTGTCAAATCATCGAGGTATTGGTAATCTTTAGAAAAATACTAATGCTAGATTTATCTGCAATTTTTTTTTGATACCGAGACTTATCTGCAATTTAACTAGTATTACGTAATTCAGTACAAGAGTAAAAATAAAAATTAACTCAAAGCTCCAAATTCAATATAAAAGGGAAAATATAACCGTAGAGAAATAATAAAGATGAGAAACGAGCTTACTTTTTATAATTCCATGAATCTGACTTCGTATGTATTTACCCATCCGTGGCAGATCTCCTGGAACACCATAAAGAAAATATTGTAATTCTCAGGTTTTAAAAGGTTTAGATTAATTAGAACACATTACAATTTATTTTGCAATTGCGAACAAAATATATATATATATATATATAAAATTATGTGTAAATTATAATAATAGAAATTTTAAATCTTCTAACGATTTCATCATAACTATAAATTTTTCTTTGAAAAGAACACCCCACTAAAAATCCTTACATACAAGTATGCTTAATAACTAATGTTAAATAGAGTAATTAAGAGGAATAGTGAACGTCCACTCCACTTTTAGTATTTTTTTTAATTAAGGTATTCCATAACTGGAGACTAATTAATGGTTAATCTTTTGACATACTAAGATTTATTTAAAAATTGATCGATTATTTTAATAAATATTTTCAATACACGTTAATGTATATACAAGGATCAAATTCTTGACTATATTTTTGAATCATAAGATTAATTGACAATTATGTATTTTTTTAAGTGGTAATTTGAGGTCGAAGGAAAAAAAAGATAGAGAGGAAAAAATATATTAAAAAAATCAAAAGAAAAAATGTATTCTTACTTTTCATAGTTTGTTTTAACCGTAATTAAATTTTTTGTATTTTCATATAGATAAATTTAATTAATCCTAAATATTTGAAAACAAAAAATATTTTTTTAACTATTTTAAATTTAAAAATTAAAAATGTTTTATTTGTTTAGTTTGAAAAGGAAATAATAGATATAATAAAATTTTGAAAAGAAAAATGAATTTAATTAAAAAGCCAGAGTACGGAGAGAGAGAGAGGAATTCTCACCATCACATGTGTTATTAACGAAATAGCAGTGTTCAGAATTACATTGGACTTGTTGTGTGGTTTGGTTGAAATAGCATCCCATTTCCCTTCCGTTGCAGTGCTCCCTACAATTATCTTGATTCAACCAAGACAACCAAATTCCATCCTTCAGCCACTTGCGGATATCAGCATAGGAAGCGTTCCCGACATCATCGACATATTCTACATGGGTACCGTTCTTCTTTTTGAACAAGTTTGCTAAAGTGGCAACCTTAAGACTACACCCAAACTTCATGTCCATCAGACTAAGGTAAGAGTAAAGGGCATAAATATGGCCACCGGCTCCGGAATGACAAGGATCCGTGTCCATTTGCACATAACGTGGGTCATCAGTAACTGGATTACTACAGTTTAACAACACTATGCTTGGATACCCATCGTAAAACCAATCAGTAGTACTTAGCACATCTGTTGGGGGATAGTGAGAAAAATTTTCGCTGTATAAGAAATAGCGAGGAAAGGAGCAGGCAGTATCCTCGAGAACACCTGCATCAGTCAGTCGAATCTCGTATCTTCTGTAATCGATCTCCCGAACATGGTATTTCCCTGCTAACAGACTCAACATAGTCACGTTGTTCACGCATTCCAATTCGTACCTTTTAAGTCCACAACCGCCAGGATCGCCCTTCAATCGAAATGGATAACTTATGTTACTGATTTTGCCGCATGAAGAAGGAGGACACGATGTGTGATCCTTAGCAGAGCAAGTTTGTTGGAATAGAGCACACATGATAACGGCCACAATAGTAACCGTAGTTGATTGCGCATAGCTGGAGAAGAAAGGTATGAGAAACATTCTTTACTCTCTTCTTCGCCTCAGTGAAGGAAGAAATTATAGCTAAATAATTCTTCAGGCTGGACCACTTTAAATTTATGAGTCAAGGTCAATAAATGTCGTGTTCGTGTATGAAACAACACCACATAATATATATATTTTTTCAATGTTTATTTATGTAAAATATTATCCGGCCAAATCATAAGGTCACTCAAACCTTCACTTTTGGACTCAATAATGCCGTGTTATAATGGATTTTTCAATGAAAACTTTTTTCTGAATAGTGAAGCCTAGCCTCTCTATACCTTAAGCCTGGAGTTGCAAAGCATTTGTAGCCTGCTTGCAAGATACAGTTTGCAATGTTTAATTTTCAGAAAATTTATCTTCTATTGTCACTGTTGTTTGTTCCTGTTATGTGCAAGCATGATTGCACCGACAAGTGTGGACGCGTTCGCATTCAATTTCCATTTTACATCAGAAATAATAATTTGAGTCACACCGTCAGCTATCCCCCTGGGTTCGAGCTGTTTTGTAACGACAAACATGAGACTCTGCTGCAGCTCCCTGCTGTTCCTTCTAAACTATTTGTCAAAAGAATTGATTACAAGAAACAGCAAATCCATATCTACGACCCTCAAAACTGTCTTCCCAATGTGTTTTTAAAACTCGGCAATTCCTCTATTTATCCATTCCAATTCCCATCATTTTTGGATCAGCGGAGGCCTGATTATTTAAATGTTTCCTTCTTCGTTTGTAATTCAATGCCGTGCCCCATCATGCGCCCATCGGCCAATTCCTTGATTAATCCTGAAATGATGTCATGCACCAAGTTGGCAGATGCTTTGTCCGTCCAATGGTATTATTGGGATTGGGAAGTTGACCGAATAAACTTTATAATGAAATGGTCGAAATCCGAACACAACTGTAGTGACTGTGAAGCACAAGGCCAGAAATGTAAATGGAAGAATGGTACCAAAGCTGAAACCGAATGTTTCATTTGCCCAACCAACACCCTTCCAACATCAATTATGATATCTATTGCTGCAGGTATGCTTTTTGCAACCTATAGTCTTTCTCTTCTCTTTCTCTGCATATGGTTACTTATAATTTATAATTTCTCTCCAACAGGGGGAATATTTGGTTTTATTCTTTTGCTGCTACTGGTATTGGCTGTCTTTCACGTCTATGGACACTATAAGATGCAAGGAGAAGACCAGGCTCGGATAGAGAAATTCTTGCAGGATTACAGGGCAATGAAACCCACGAGATTCACTTACGCTGACATTAAGAGAATGACCAATGGGTTTAGTGAAAGTTTAGGAGAAGGGGCTCATGGAGCAGTGTTTAAAGGCATGCTCTCCCGAGAAATTGTGGTTGCAGTGAAGATATTGAATGACACAATGGGAGATGGGAAGGACTTCATAAACGAAGTGGGAACCATTGGAAAGATTCATCACGTTAATGTTGTTCGCTTGCTCGGATTCTGCGCGGATGGGTTCCACCGTGCTCTTGTCTACGATTTCTTCCCAAAGGGTTCTCTTGAGAAATTCTTAGCCCCACCGGACAACAAGGATGTTTTCCTCGGTTGGGACATGTTGCAACAAATTGCTCTTGGTGTTGCCAAGGGACTTGAGTATCTTCATCTTGGTTGTGACCACAGAATACTCCACTTCGACATCAACCCTCACAATGTCTTACTAGACGACAACTTGGTCCCAAAAATTACAGACTTTGGACTCGCCAAGTTGTGTCCCAAAAATCAAAGCACGGTGTCTATGACTGCAGCTAGGGGAACCTTAGGCTACATTGCTCCTGAAGTTTTCTCAAGGAACTTCGGTAATGTGTCTTACAAGTCTGACATTTACAGCTTCGGAATGTTGTTGTTGGAGATGGTTGGAGGAAGAAAGAATGCCAATAAGTCAACAGATGAAAGCTTCCAAGTTTTGTACCCTGAATGGATCCATAATTTGCTTGAAGGCAGAGACGTTCAAGTTAGTATTGAGGATGAGGGAGATGTTAAAATTGCAAAGAAACTGGCCATTGTAGGACTTTGGTGCATTCAGTGGAATCCCGTGGATCGTCCATCCATGAAAACTGTGGTACAGATGCTTATAGGAGATGAATATGACAAGTTAGTTGTACCCCCTGCTCCTTTTAACATCACCGGTTCTTCTACAACAAATTCCATTGTTCCAGCAAGACGTCAAAATTTTGAGTTGGAAGTTATTCATGAAATAGAAGAAGAGTAGATAATATCGGTCAATTTTAGCTAGGATATATTTATTGTTGCTGTTGTTCATAAATTATAATTGAGATTTTATTTAGGTAATACATGGTTGATGTTGCATAATAAAAGATTGTGGTAAACAACACATTTAATGTAATATTTTGTTAGATAATGTGTGTATATTACTAAAGTAAAATTATAATTTTTATTGAAGAATAACACTAATCGTATTGATTGTACTATATCTAAATTTTGTTTATTTAGGTTTCTTTTGAATGTAATTTGTATGTTCTTTATTTAAGTTGCAAGATTTATCAATACTCACTAGTGAAAAAATCAATTTTAAAATTGAAGTTTTAAGATTAATTAAGAAAGAACTAATTTAAAAGTAATGTGATGACATTTTTGTAAATATCGTTAACACTTTTATGGTGTGTTTGGATGAGGAATTTATATAGGGTAATTCATTTATTTGAAGAATTTCAAATTCCTTGAGGTGAAATGCTTTGTTTGGATGAGGAATTTACAAAGAATTTGAAATCCAAGCATTTGTAAAATTTCTTAAAATAGTAGAATTTCAAATTCTCCAAAAAATGGGAGAATTTGAAATTCCTCATATTTGTTTTTCTTATTTCACCTATATATTTTATCTTATCTCTTCATTCTTTTAATTATTAGATATTTAAAAATATTTTTAAAATTATTAAATATTATCTTATATTAATTTTTAAAATTATTAAATATTATCTAATATTAATTTTTAAAATTATTAAATATTTAAAAATGGATTAATATTTATTTTTATAAAATTTAATTTAAAAATATCAACATATAAATATATTTTTAAAATCAATTTTACTATGATGGAATCAAATTATCATATTCAACCTAACAATTTAAAATTTAAGAAATTTGAATTGACTCATCCAAACAAAATATTTTAAGAATGATAGAAATTGAAATCAAAGTAATTCAAATGCCAAGAATTTAAAATTCCTTAAATTTGTAAAATTCCTGATCCAAACACACTATTAAGATCGGTTAAATTATAATCAATCTTAAAAGTCCTTTTGAGATCAATTATTTAAGAACTAATCTTAAAAGGTATGTGTGGAAACATCTTTTAAGATCGATTATTAAAGAATCGATCTTAAAAATCAAATAAAATGAGCATGTGTCGCCTCCTCTTTCCACACTGTTTTCTTGCGCCTTCCCTCTTCTTTCTCAATCTCTCAGATTCTCTCACGACGTGTCCCACCACCAACGTTTCCGTTGTCGCCTCCGAGGCCAGCACGTGTGCAAAGCTTGTCACTCTTGGATTGACTTGTCCCGCTCGCTTAGATTCTCTTGCTACACGCCCCACCACCATCATTTAGGCTGACGTTGTTCATGTCAGCGCACCGCACCATCGTTGCATTCTCACCTCTAAGGCCAATGAGAATGAACCTCGTGCTCTTTGCGAGAACGAACCTTTCACGACATGACCTGCCACCACCTTTGAGATTGATGTTGTTCAAGTCTGCACGCCTAACCACCATTTTGTTATAACATATGAAGTCAGCACACCCCACCATTGTTGGCATTAACTCCATTCACTCTACGAAAGGTACTAAGTGTTCTCTACTCTTACTCTCATAGTTCCACTAATTTTTTTTTTAATTCTTCTGTGTTCTTCAGATGTTTATTTTGGATTAGGTTTTTCAACAAATAATTTTGGATTTTCTATTTGCTATTGAATTTCATGGTTGATTAAAATCCTCTTATGTTTATGTTTACTTATTATTTGGATTGGATGTTGAGTTTGATTAGTATTTTGTTTTGTTTTATGAAGTTAATTTATTTTTTGAACCACCCATTTGAATTGGGGCTTGTTGTGAAATGGGTTGAACTTTGACATGAACTATGATGGATTGGAATTTTAAGATCGATTATAAAAGTTCACTTTTAAGATCAATCAATAATCAATCTTAAAAGTCTAACTTTTAAGATCATCTCTTTAAGATCGATTCATTAACCGATCTTAAAAGTAAAAAATAATCAGTCTTAAAATTCTTTTTCCCACTAGTGACTAATGGTCTATTATATGATGGAATCATGCCAAGGAAGACAAGAGACGACACATTGAAGGATCCAAGAGAAATGAGCTAGTCATGAAGATTTGGCTAGTTTAGAGCCTAATGGGCTTGGTGGGCTGAAGTTGCTTTTTACATGGGCCACACTTTAGGATCTTGATTATTCACCATTTAGTATGTATTATATTAGTATATGTTTCATACATTTTGGTCTTGCATTTTGGGTCACATAGACGATGGTTTTTGCATAATAAAAGATTGTGGTAAACAACACATTTAATGTAATATTTTGTTAGACAATGTTAATGTGTATTACTAAAGTAAAATTATAATTTTTATTGAAGAATAACACTAATCGTATTGGTTGTAATATATCTAAATTTTGTCTAATTAGGTTTCTTTCGAATGTAATTTGTGCATTCTTTATTCAAGTTGCAAGATTTATCAGTACTAATAGTCTATTATGGTACCCATATAATTTGCTTAATGTACTTGTTTATTGCTTCTTGCATTAAGTATCTATTGTTATAATTATGAATTTTGGTTTCAACTTCGTATAATAGATGATTCTTGAATAATGTTTGTACTACCCAATTTATACGCCAAGTTGTGCACTTGACAGGTGAGTGTGACTTTCTCCATATTCCATTTTCTCTTGGTGTATTCGTTCATAATAAGGAGTAAATTCCTTGGCCAACTTGAGAGGTTGACATGACCAAACTCCTTTTGAAAAAGGG